TTTCGAAAGCAAGGACTGAGGGATCCTCTTGTATTCAGGCTCTTCCCCATCTGGTCAGTGCTTCCCATACATTAAGTGAAAATGTACCCCAAGAAAAACAGCAATTCCAAAAAGTCTGAGGAAAATAAGAATGAATTAAAAACAAAAAAAAGTTCACCTTTGTAGAAATATGTTGGCTTAGATTTCAGGTCCTGGAAAGCATTTCTGAGAATGACATGGGTCTTTCAGGCTAGCAAACTTGTTTCCATAATATCTGGCTGGTCCCTACAGCTGTGAGACATATTAAGGTATGATATTGCTTCAAATTGGTATGCTAAGGGTTTAGGTTTTTTTAAGATTTATTCCTCTCTAGGTCTCCCTCATTAGGAAACCTTATAAAGTTTAACAAGGATGAAACTGTCAAAATTCGAGAAAAACCTACAGATCTGCCCTACAGTCTGTTTCATCAGCACAAGACTGTGAAGAAACAGAACCAGTACACATTTAATCAGTGAGAGCTGTGAAATTAATCATAGAAACACAGAAAATTAATATTGGAAGGTACTTCTGGAGGTCACCGAAACCAACATTAAACCCTTTGTTTAAAGAAAGATTAGTGAGATCAGACTGCTCAGGGGCTTGTCCGAGACATTGAAAGAATCCAGAATTTCACTTCAGTTGCCAGTTTAGCCAGGTAATGCAATTTTATAGAATGAGTACTAGCTACTGAAAAATAACAACTCAAAAATAATGAAAAATACTCTGGATTCTGCCATCCACTTTTAGACCAATCTCTATAAAATATATCTGATATTTTATGTTGCTCTTTATCTCCTAAGGGGAAAACCAAATAGAACAAAAAAGCACTCAAGTGTTGTTTTAGTGTAAGAAGTGACAAAAATACAGCATCATGTGTCTTCATATCTGATACAGTACAAATGAAACAATACATTTTTTAGTTCAAAGTGAACCATCAATGGTCATGTTGAGAAAAACAGAATTTTGATAGCCAGGCCTCAAGCTGGCAGTACAGAAGTGTATTTCTATAAACATATTTTTATGCACAGATTCAGAAAATTTGATTAGAAAACTATTTATAACAGTGCTTCCTAAATTATTTTTTATTAGTCAGTTTTCAAAATTGAATCTTGACTTTAAGTTGTCTCAGATAATGGAAAAATCCAGAATAAATAAATTTTATCAACACTGTCACATACGAAGAACATCTTTACCTAGAATATTCTGCCTTGGTCTCCCCATTGCAAGAAAATGATTGACATATGGGAGAAAGTCTAGCAGAGAGTCACCACAAAGGCAGTGGAACACATGATGGATGAGGAGAGACTGAGAGATATGATTCAGCCTTAGGAATAAAAGGGTAAGTGTAGATCTTATTGCTATCTCCAAAATACCTAACTAAGACTGTAGAGAAGAAGCCAGACTCTTCTTGGAGATGCACAGTGGAAGAGGCACTGAAAAAGATTTGAACACGGAAAATTCCTACTTGACACACAGATTTTTGAATATATTTTTTTTACCATGAAAGTGTTTAAATATTGGAACAGCTTGCACAGAGAGGTTGCAGAATTTCCATTCTGGAAATTCAGGATATTTAAAACTCAGCTGGATATGGCCGTGAGCAACCAGCTCTAGTTGGAGGTTGGCTAAGATAGCCTCTGGAGGCCCCTTTCCACATGCATGATTCCATGTTTGACAGCTCTGATCCCAAATATTATTTAGCTAATCACAAAAACTCACATTTGTTTTAGTTGCTTCCTTGGTGTACACTATTTTGTGAGACTTTTAGTTCAATTTGTTTTCATCCTATAGCTCCATGGCCTTGGAAACCACGATCTGACTTTCTTATAATGGCTTCTCTTTTGCAAATAGGCATAAATCTTGCATTGAAGGAAACAAGGTAAAGCTTCTCCTTTCTAAAGCTGGATAATTCAGTCCTCAACTGTCACCAAATTTACGGGTTTGCTTTCAAGAAGTCTTACACGGATCCTTTCCTCTTTAGTCTGATTCTACTCATAATTTACAGAGAGAGGACAACTGTACAACTTTAGCAAGGAGACACAGGCCCAAAAAGGAATTAGTTTTAACAGACTACACAAGTTTGAAGTGTACAGCTTAAAATACTGGCAAAGAAACAAAACTTGTCACTGTAAAAAAAAAACAGTCCTGGAATGTGTCACTAATCATGCCTTTCCAAAATGGAGACTCCTTCTATAAAATACCAAAGTTATGGTTCAAAATTTTAGTAATAACTAAGACACTTGCATATGAGCACCCAAAAACTGAAGTCAAGATTGCCTGGGTACACCATATATACAGCTGAAAAATATCTCCCTTTTCGAACATAAGAGGTGGTTCCAAAGCTCAAATTTTGGCTTCAGAGTTCAAGATCTGCGACAAAGCCTGAGAAACTTGAAATCTGCCTTTTACCCCCCTTTTTTTCTATGTTTTTTAGGCTATTTGGATCCAGGATTTAGATGTAGGCCTGCCTTTTGGACAAAGTAAAGAGATATTTCAGCCTTTTTTTCTCCTGGGGCCCTCGTTCTGGCATATTTAAATAAGATGCCAACAAGACCATAAATGACAACTGGAACTAAAAACAGTCTTGCGTGACTTTTACCAATTTAAATAGAGACTGGTGTTTACACCATCACTTAATAATTAAGGTTTGTATACCTTGATAGCACATCTAAAGGCAGGTGTGTTCAGATGGCAAAGGAGGATATTTATGCAGGTTCACAGCCAATGAATTAGTGGAGAATTTGAGAGCATAAATTTTAGGACACTACAGTAAGGAAATTCTAGGATTCTCTTATACTTTTTTTAATCTAATGCACTCACTGGATGCTCTACAGTTTCACACAGCTGAGGTTTCAGTTCCCATTAGACACCTTCCTGAGGGGCAGCAGAGGGGCAGCAACAATCTCTGCTCTCTGGTGACCAGTGACAGGATCTAAGGGAATGGGATGGAGCTGTGTCAGGGGAGGTTCAGGCTGGACATTGGGAAAAAGTTCTTCACCCAGAAGGTGGCTGGGCACTGGAAAGGCCTCCCCAGGGAAGTGGTCACAGCCCCAAGCCTGCCAGAGCTCAAGGAGCATTTGGACAACACTCTCAGGCACATGGTGGGATTCTTGGGGTGTCCTGCACAGGGCCAGAAGTTGGACTTGATGATCCTTGTGGGTCCCTTACAACTCAGGATACTCTGTGATTCTGTTATCTGGCAGGATGCTCTACATATTCCAACACATATTGGATTCTAGGGCCCTCAGTCCCAGTGAAACAGCTGGGTGGAATGGCCATAAAAAGTATGCAAATACAGAAGTAGAGAAATACGAGATTGTCAGCAAGCAGTGCTCTGCAGTTTTTAAATGTATACATATATATATATAAGCATATATATATACACATATAGAGTATAGTTAGTTTTAAATCTTTGGAATAAATTCAATTTTTCTTCTCTCTCTCTTTCTTTCTGACTTTCTTTCACTCTCTCTCATGCTCTTATCACGGATATTACATCATTGCCCTAAAAGATGGTTAGATTTTGGTCCATATTTCATGCCATATGGGCCAGACATCGTATTTCCCCCCTGTCCCCAAAGTGTTCAGTTGACAGTCACAGTGTTTTGTGAAAACTGTGAGGAAAACCAGCATCTTTTAATAAATTCAATCTCTCACTGGAACCAAAGGTTGCAAAATGCTGAGAATTCAAGTGCCAAGGATCCCGGTGACAGCTCTTAAAAACATCTATTGAGTTTCTTGTTTGCTCTTTTTTCCCCTTAAAGTACAATTTTACCTCCCAAAACATAAATTAAGGGAAATATTTAACAGTCAATGAGTCAAAACAGTCAAAGAAGGGCAATTGGCTAATACATTATAAAAGAGCAGCAACCATTTGTGGACCACACGCTATTTTGTTTCATTTCTAGACACATCTTGTAGGGATGGTCCGCAATATACAAAATATACAACCTAATGACCACCTGCCTGCTTGCATAGGCCATTTTTATGGTCCTAAATGCAGTCTTTGGAGTCAGGGCCAGTGTCAAATAGGTTCAAATACAAGTTATGGCAATACATTTTTTAGGGTTTTTTTTTTCCTTTTGTAATGAAGACTTTAATCCACTTTGAGCCAAAGAAATCAAATTATCAATATGACGGAAGGGTGAGCATGAGACCTCCACTTCTCCATGATGATTCACACCGTAGGCCGAAATGGACCTCTAGGTTAGTAACACTTTAGACCAACCATTTGGAAATGTCTCACTGCTGTATGTAAAATCCCTTCCTTCACCTCTCACATGGTTACATTTTTTCATATAGGAGTGGGCTACAGCATCAACTTGATGAACAGAAAAGCAGGACTTTGATAATTTCTTTAACGGGCTAATGCTGAATGAAGCCATTGTACTTGGAAGAGGTTCTTGATTTCCTACTCGGAGATTGGAGTAGGATTTTTGGCTTGGGGGGGTTTGTGTGTACGATGCTCAATAAACAGGTTTAAATTAAAACGTCTGCAGGTGCTCTTTACAGAAACAAAAGGGTAATGTTTTAAATTGGTTAATAGAAGAACTGCAAGAAAAAGCAACATAATTCACCACTAAATCACCGTGGGTTGTGGCTAATATGCTCACATGATGTGGAAGGAATCCTGTAGTCATGCCTGTGTGGCCAGTCCCAGACTGATATCCAGGTGAAGACAAGGAGTTCTGAAGATCACTTGTTTGTGGAGAAAAGAGAAAAAAGGTTTAAGCTTCCAAACAAGCTTTTGAAGTTTTTTTGTTCAAAAATAAAGAAGTCCTAGCTATGGCAATAAGGTGAGGCTTACAGAGATATTAGGTGCTGTATCTCAGGGGTTTATCCCTTGGCTACTTAGCCATCGTGGCAGCAGCTTACAGAGTCCCTAGTGCATATGTTGTGCAATAGCCAAAAAAAAAAAAAAAAAAAAAAAAAGGTTAAAATAAAAACAACCAACAAAAATATAATCCTCCGTGAAGTCTACATAAACTCAGGCCAAAAAGAGGATGTTTGTGTCACAAGTGTCACTCCACAGTCTACTGCCATTAAGGCCACTGGTATTGACTTAAAAGGATCTTAATAGTTCAGTTCTAGGAAGAAGAACCAAAACCAAGACAGGTCAAAGTGTCTGTGAGAAGTCTGATGCACTGAACATTAGGAATTCTCAGAGAAAGAACAAAAAAACCAAGAGGTTAATTTTGGCTACCAAACTGGGATTTGGTTTTCTAGGTCATTGTTTTTCCCCCATCTATTTAAAAAGAAAGTTAGTGCTACAAATATGCAACTTCAAGACGACATATTCTTCTACTGAGTTGCACTGAGAAGCAAGTTAGATAAGCCCCTCCTACTGCCGTCCACTGCAGGGAAGCCTCCTCTGTTTTCTTTGATTTCCATTGGCAAAAACAGGAAACAAATCCAAGAGGGATGAAGTACTGCAAGTAATTGTTCTTTTCCACTGACTTCACCTCTATAGCATCTCCTCGCCTGCATCTTCTCCCATCCAGCTGGGGCAAGGCATAAAAGAACTGATGTAGGTATTGAAGTGTAACTGGGTGCATGACACTGTGAGCATGTGGTCCCTGTACAGAGGATTATACGGGATCAAGTTCTCTTCTCCTGTAAGGTAGCACGTTGTAACTTGAGTTCCACTTTCATCTCACAACACTTAGCCCAGATGACATCCACGCCAAGCTGACTGATATTTAGATGTGTCTCTTCATGTGGAGGGCAAGGTGATCCGACCTGGAAAAACACCTGCAACATAAAGGAAGCAAGAAATGAAATAAGTATAGGATTTTGGAAAACAGGATTTCTGCTCCTTCCTTGTTATGTACAGGAGAAAATACATATCCCAGTTTAGAGACATTCCTTGGGTCATCCATGGATCACCACCAAAGCATGTGTGATTGACCTCTGTGACCACAGACAGGCAACTACCCTGGCTCTTCAGCATTTAAAGAGACAACTTTTATCCTTTTCCTGTTCCTTTCCCTGTCACTTCTTTCACTGAGTCAGACATCAGGGAAGAGTGCTCATTTATGCACCTGTACTATAAAACCAAATATTTAGTATGCGTATGTTTGCATATTAAAAAAATAAAGAAATCAGTTTATTCAAGTACTCAGCAACACCATTTTTGAAAATACCAGCTTTCTCAAGCGCCCACTCCTTGCAAAAAGCACCAAAGAATGATGCTAGTTTTGAAAGCTGAATTCTCATTTCTAACTCCAAACTGGAAGGAAAACTGGTTCAGAGTTTGGAGGCTGACAATCCATCAAGCTTCATATCTCTCCCTTCCTCTCAGCTGGGAATCTGGGTGGTAGGTAATATGTGGATTCTGATTAATGTTATCTTCCTGAAGGATGTTGACAGAAGATATTAAGCCTATTTTGTAAGAGTGACAATTGAAAGACAGAGAAGGCAAAGAAGTTGTAAATCACACAGGTGTGGTAAAACTAAGGGGAAAAAAAGAAAGCCAGGACTTGAGCTTTCAACTTCTGTTCTTTATCCACAAAGACTTTTCCATCCCATAAGAAAACAATGCTTTGTCATTCTGAACATGTAGCTGGATCCTGATGAGACAGACTCCATACCCATTAGATATGGGATTGAAAGCACCAATGCACTACACCCACATCACAGTGTCATTTAAGATACGTATGGCACCAGAAAGCAAACCACAGGAGAAGCAGGCAGTGGTTCTGGCTGCCTACCCCACAGCCCTAAGATGGAGCCTGTCACAGTGGCAGGAATCAGACATTTCTGCTAGAAACTTCAGTTGAGCATTTAAAAACAGGAGGTTTTCAAGTTCCCTGCAAATTCTGGCTTACCTTCTTTCCACCTTAAGCCACAAGATACTGGCTTATTTATTTTAAAAACATTTACTACAAATACCACACAAACCCCCACATACCTGTGGCTTTTGAGTAAACTGGTTCTGTAGGCTCCAAGAACACTAGGAAAAGCTACTTACAGAACTGATTTGGCTGGCATGTCTTTTCAGTGCTCCACAGAACTAGAGTATAAAGCAGCCACCAATAATGGTCTGAAGAATATCCAAATGGCTTATTGTGAGAATCAAGATAGCTCATATATGGGTGCCGAGTGTATTCTTAAAATAGCAGTAGTTGAGTGTTTTGTAGTTTTCAGAAAGAAGAAGCAGAAGAACAAACTGCACACCACCCCCCCCGAAAAAGCCAATAGTGATAGATAAAAAAAGAACAGTCAATCTAAATGCCCAAAGGATAAACACTCCAAGCAGAGAAAGGCTGAGAAAGAGAAGAACTATAACAATGAAGCTGTTTTAAACAGTTTGGGGACCTTTTCTGTCCTGCTGAAGTATTCCACTGCACATGTAATCAATCTGCATCTACACATGGAGATGAGTGATCAAGAGGTACATTTTTAAGACAAAGAAACCTTAAAATAAGACAACTTCCACAAGGAAAGTAATTTACTCATCTTCTGTGAATAAGCAATGAGCATAGCTCTGCTGAAGTTATCTCTTCTCTACTGGCAGGGCTTACAGGGGAGTTAATACTTTAAGAATGGCAAAAAAGAAAGACTTCAAAATAAGATGGAGAAGGCATTTCTCCAAGGTCCTACACGAGGCACAGCAAGACACACATGAGTCTGACAATGGACACCAGACCTTCAACACAGAAAGCTCTGCACAGCTAGAATTTTCTAGCCCTAGAGTGACAAAATACACCCTTGGACTAACATCTCTCTCATCAATCTTAAACTGAGAAAGCAGCATGCTCTGGCTACAAGGGCTGCCAAAACAAAACAACAGCTTGAGTGGCTGCCAAAAAGACAAGCACCAGCTGGCACTTCAGTCTAGGACTAGTCATAAGACCCCCACCCAAGCACAGCTTTCTCCAATTGTCTCCTATAGATGCAACCCAGGAAAGTGTATGCTGAGTCACACCACAGCCAGATTTATTAAAATTACAGATTCAGTACACTGTTTCACATCTATAACTACCATATTAGCATCTATAATATTTTTACAGGTAATAAATGGTGCCATATTTACTAGTTTATAGCTAATAAAATGTTACAATACTAATTCTTCACATTCTCCTGCTGACTAATTCAGTTAGTTCTATCTCTTGGTAAGGCTGGTGGATGTGGATATGTATTTTCAACTGTAAAATAGTCCATACAAAATTTTTGCAGCTAAATCACACTGTCAATATTGATTGCTGGACACACCTTTGTTTTTCTTTCTGGGACTAGAGGCAGCAGTGGAAGAGGCTCCACAGGATAAGCTGTCAAAGGAAACTACTCTCTTCAAAAATCAAGGAACAGGGGCTTGATGGTCTCTAGTCCTGCCCATGAACGAGACTTGACTCTGTACCTCTGGCTCAATACCTCTTTCAGTTCCAGACCAGCTCTGCACATCACACGTGGGCCCATCACAGCCTTCTCCATCATCCCTCCCCTAGTCTAGCTCTTCCTAGAAAGAACAGTTTATGCTAGAATAAGACACTCTAATTATAAAAGTCATACAGGGATGTGTGATACACGAATTCCTTGCTTCCAAATATGATTCCTTCCTTTCTCTTTTTGCTCTATCTCCTTAGCAACATAGTACTGCTTGGCACTGAAGCCTCTGAAGGAGAAAAAGGGAAGGTAAATACAATGAGAGAATATATTGCTCAGCCATCTTTCCTACCAGCTGCGGATTTTCCACTGTGGGATGTGTTCATTCCAGCTAAGTGCACTCTTAGGCTGGTATCAAGGCGACCATGCACACATGTGCACATACACACAGAGGAATATGCATCCCAACAGTCTGGCACTAAGCTGCTGTCTCCTAAACACCTATTGATGTAGAATCAGCAAGTGCCACTACCTTGTCAAACTCTTCCCCTAGAAGCGCTGAGGGCTTGCACTGTGTGAGGAACAATCCTAGCCTGTGTTTCTGAAGAGCCAAATTCCTGGGGAATGCTAATAACCAGCATAACCCTGGCATCTGGAACGCAACAAGGACTTTCCTGGGGTGCTTTCCACACCACTTCAGCCGATTCTCCTTTCTCTCCTGCTGCCACAAAGCCACACACCATTTGCAGTACATATGATGTTACTCAAAGCAGTGGTAGTTTGCCAGCTATGACTAACAACGTGATCTGTGGGCTGCATGGTGTTGGGATAGGGCTGGGACAGCAGGAGAAGAGAATCTTATCTTCTTACCTCTTTTGTTATAAAATTGACACAGAGGACATTAACACTCCTTTGGCATTGGTTGGAAGGTGAGAGACCCAAGCACATCTCAAAACACTCTTGGAAGGGAACTGCAGCCAGACTGTGTGAACAACACCCCCCTCTGCTATCTGAATCACCTCTTCCATGCTCTGTTTGCCAAGATGCAGCCTTCAGCTCTGAACAACAGGCATAGGATTTGTGCTATATCAGTGTTGTTAAAACAGCTCCAATCAGCTCCTTAAAACCTAACAAGCCAACATGTCTGAGAGTGGCCACAGCTTCTGTCAACAATGGTGAGTGCAATAAAGGGTAGGAGTTCAAAGAGAAAAACTTCTCCAGCTGGAATCCTGGCCTAGGAAGGCACATCTTTAAAAGTCTGCCTAAACGGCAAAAAGGCAGTTTTAGGCTAGTGTTTTAGTGCTTGCTTGAGGTGACCTCTGCAATAGGTGGTAGCAAAGTGCAAAGAAAAGAATGAAAAACAGTAGTATGGCAGAGTGGGGCAAAAGAACACGCACTGTCACTCTAAAAGCTTGCAACGTTTAACTGGGGGAATAAGGACAAATCTGCCTTCTATCACCACACACAGATAGCACGGGTATAGAATTTAACACTGCACAATCCTCAGCACTCTGAATTTTATTGATAATGTTTTTCCTTCATCTACAGATTCAGCAGAAGAGCAGAAAATGCATTTGATAATTACAGGGATATATCTCCTGACTGCAGTTACTGAGTTTGCTGCCAAAGAGAAAAGCTAGGTTGAAAGGGACAATATGTAGAGGGAGAATAATGAACACCTAGCAAAGGGCCGAAAGAGACCAAGGAGTTGAAAATTCTGGCTGTATTTCTTTAGATCTCTGCTAAAATATTGTTTGTCCTGACAAAGAAACCCTGGGGCTGTGTGTATGTGTGTGTGTTTGTGGGGCCACTCGGAGGAAAGAAAAGAAAAAGGCAATGCCTTGTATTTAAAACAGAGAACATAATTGTTCTCATTCACAGAAGTGCTTAAACAAAAGCAGAACTGCAGAGGTCCCTACTTGGCTTATCCTGTCCCTCATTCTGAGCAAACAAAAGATGATCCAGGGAAAAAACAAAAGATAATCCAAGAGGAAGCCCTCCTTGGGGGAAGGGGGACGGGAAGAGGGGAGACAAGGGCAGAAGAGCACTTAAGGAGATGAAGCTCTTGGAAAGGCAGGATGTGAAAATGATCAAATTTCCTTCCCATAAAAGGATGGGGTCCCTTGTTTATGTCCCACACATCCTCTCTCCACGCATATTCTCTGTTGGTCTGGTGTACCCAGAGGCTTCCTAGTGGCTTTATTGTATTACAAAACGTTTCCTTATCACAGTCGAGAACCTTAGTGCTGCATTAAAAAGATGGGTAATTTTCTTAAGCCTCTTTTAAAAATATATATAAATAGGATTAGCTGGATAACATGTTCAGATGCAAGCACATTATTTGATTACTCAATAGTGGATCCAGGTTTCACCCAGGGCACTGCCAATCTTCAGCTGGGGGGGTGAGTGGGGGAGAAGTGCTCATTGTTCGATCCTGTCAGTGCTGTCAAGAGTCATTACAGGGGTAATTGCTTTTGCTCCACCCTGATTTCTTATCAATTGGGATTGGGGATGTGGAGAAGGGTGTTCGTTTGGTTTTGTTTCTAAATGGAAAGAAGTCAGCATCAAGCTGGATCAAAACCACTCAGCACCAAGCAAGAACGACCAGATTTTTCAGAGAAGGTCAGTATTTACTAAGGCAGCGAGGACTGTACAAATGGATGGCGGCGAGCACCGTAAGGGCGGCTCTCCCGGGGAGCTGCTGGATGCTCAGCCCGCACCTCATTTCTGATGCACTAATTAGCAGGAATGTGCAGAGATCATTGATCTTACACAAAACAACCCCATGAACTTGAATGGTAAAATATGTCTAAATCACTCCTGGGCTTTTGAAAATGGTGCCTTTTCTTGTCTTTTCTTTAGGAGCCCTGGACTCAGTGCTAAAAGACAACGATCATACAGAAATTTCATGTTTTTTCCCTAGAAGTTTCTTATAGATTTGGGCCACTTGTGGCACAACAGCCACACACTCCCCACTCCTCCTGGCATACACCAGTGTTTCTGGTGTGAGGCCCACCCTGCCAAAATGCAGGTAGCCAGCAGCGGTGCTTGGGGTAGTCCTTGAAGCCGAACAAGTAGAGGGAGCTCTGCCTCTGTGAGCACAGCAGGCTTACAGAAAGCTGGGGAGATGTTTTGTGGACAGGTCCATCACTGAAATGATCTAAGGCCCTTTGGATGTCTTCTCTGCTATAAGAGTATTAATAAGAGCTGCCCTATCAACCGAATCCTGTGCACACAACAGACACCAGCAGGGTTCAGTCAGAGCTACACCTGGTCCCACATTTTGTTCTATGCTGTGGGATGGAAACAGCTTAGACTGCTTAGGAAGAACTCCCCATCTGCCAGCCCGCCTGGCCACTGAGGCAGAGAGGACAGGGGCCAAGCAGAGGGTTCCTCCATGGTACAGGGATCAGGCAGTGGGACAGAAGGGGTCTCTCTGCTGGGAGCCAGATCTCTTGTCTCTGGGAGCTGGCAGCTCCATGCCAGTCACAAGAGTCCACAGGTTTCTTGAACATCACATTAGGAGCTGCATTACCTGTCACAATGGTTGCATTTAAAGGGCTTTGCACCCGTGTGCTTTCTGTAATGCCTCGTGAGCTCGTCGCTCCGTGCAAAACGCCACTCGCACCCTTCCCACGAGCACTTGTAAGGCTTCTCACCTGCAGAGGGGAGGAGAGAACAGTCAGCGTGGCAGCAGCATCACTGAGCACTCAACTTGAAAGCCCCGTGTCCTCCCACCCTGCCTCTAACCCATTCGAGTAGGTTAGCTCATCACACAATTCATGGTCAGCCTGAGATGCAAATAACTTAGGGATTGTGATGTATTGTACTGAGGATAGCTCCAGTCTAGATTTTACCACAGCTGAAATTCTCACACAACCTTATAACTTGTTTCTAACAAAACCAGCCAACTGGTCTTTGAAGAAGCCCTAAGAATGTCCACAAATGCCTAAGCAGCTGTGTGGCTGAAGCTTGATTTTCAGCTCACTCTAAGCTTGCCAGATATATTACTGTGGTACCTGAGTGACTGTACTAACACCTGACCCTGTACAGGTGTGCACCACTCCTGAGTCACCATCACTACTGCATCACACGCTTTCCCCTGATTCTGTTTACCCTTTGCCAGCCTCACATCTGTTCCCCTCAAGCGTTCATGCCTGCTGCCTCCAAGGCCTGCACCTTTTTTTACTTGCTTCTGACAACAAAATCTACTCCTAGAAGCAAGAAATTATGTGTCAGGTCATGGAGTGCGAGAGGATACATTTTTACTTCTTTGAATCCACTTGTCCTTCAGGCTTCTTGCACTACACCTTCATCGGCTATTATTCTGCCCCAAAATATTAACAATACCACTGAAGGCAGTGAAATGGTGTAGTGGTAAGACAGGAGAGATTCTAGTCTGCTGGTAGCAGTTGGACTCAATGATTCTTGTGGGTCCCTTCCAACTCAGGATATTCTATGATTCTGTGTTCACATCTAACTATCTTCTGATGCACATCAGTCTCTGCAGATCAAAGTCTGCCATGGTGTAACATCTGTGGAGTCACTAACACCTTCTGATGAAGAACCTCAAGTCATGACTCCCTTTTCCTTATTCAGTGCACATGCATCAGTGTGCATTCAAATATAACATCTCCCTGCACAACAAATGCTCCAGGACATCTCCTCTATATAAGCTCCATGTCACTCTTCCCCATAACAGTCAGTTGAGATAAAATTCAGACAAGAAATCACTTTCACTACCAAGTTTCTAAGTGGATTATTACTCATTTATTTTTTCTTAAAATTGCTAAGAAGATAATCTTAAAAGACCCACCACGGGCTACACTGAGGCTGCAATCTGTAAGACCCCTCTAGGCAGTCACACAAAACAATCACTTGACCACAGCAGACAATGCACAGACACAGGTTGCTATCACTGTGTCTACTCAGCAAGCAGAAGAATGAGATCTGGTTATGGGAGACCTATGTATATCATGATGATGAACTGGAGAGGCAAAAATAGCAATAAAAGTGAAAAGGGAAAGAAATCTGCAGCAAAATACATGGCAAAAAAAAAGCTGTTCTCTGTTTTGTGAGTTTCTGCAGACTTCTTGTTGCCCAGGCAGCTCTGCTGCACAGTGGGTCTGCCCCAGACAGAACAGCAGAATGGGCTGAGACCTTTACTGAAGCTGAGCCGTTTTACTGGCCTCTGAGAAGTTTCTTAGGCTCAGTAGTTCAATTAAAGGATTCCTTGGGATGAAGTTGTGAAGAGGCAGCTGGCAAGACTACACCAAAGTATCCGTTTATGCCACAGTCCCTGAATGAAGAAAGGCCAGCCTGGATGTCCCTGTTGTGAGTCACAGTCCCCCACGGGAAAATGCCCAACAGGACAATGGACTAAGCCAACAATAACACAACCCTGCTTAGAATGTGCCTGCTTGGTCATCTCTGCAAACTCACCTCCTGTTCCTTTATTCTGTGAACAGCATTTCTTTAGGAAAATAAACAGTTAGAATCTTCTTAGTGAGCAAGGTGCTGGTGTCTCGTTTCTGGGCTGGTTTCTCAACTGTACCTCAAACACTGTCACCAGTGCTGGCCCCATGCACAGGAGCTGCAGCTGCAGCAGTCTCCTGCCAGCCCTTTACACCCTACCTGGCAAACAGCATTTGCTCTCGTCAGAAAAAAGAGATTTCCCAGTCCTGGTCCTGTGCCTATGATGAAGCACTGGTTTTATCTGAACAGTTCATGCAGTATTTTAAAAAGTTGTCTGTAAACAAGCCTCAATGCTAATGCAGTTCCTTGGTTCTCTGACGCTCTCTAGTGCCTACCTTAGAGTGGAGACAGCCAGGCAGAGAAATTGCCTTGCAGCACATTTGCCACACATGCTGCAAAGCAAATGCAGAAGACGACTGCTCAGCCCAATCTGGCAGGTACAGCCAGTCTGAAGGATACAGTCATCTACAGGGCAGAAGGGTGAAGGAAAAGCATCTCGGGCTTTCTGTAAAATTATACAGGCCACTAAGATTGAAGTGGAGTTTGGCTTGTTAAAATTTGTCAAGAGCTTTGAAAATATACAGTGCTATATATAGGTTACAAGAGACAGAAAAGCCAAGCATGATTACTGGTAAACCCACATAATGACACGTATCTCTGTTACTTGCTGCAGGGGCTCCTCTCCCAAGTGTTCCAGCTCTGGCCTTGCACAGCCCTGAGCTGAGTTTTGTTTTTCCTTTGTAACCCAAGCCCTGTTCAGCAAAATGTCAGATAATACCTCTCAGTGCTCCAGCCTGCACGCTGCCATACCGTGCTCCCAGTGCACAAGGTAAATGCAAAGGAGCACGGTGACCTTTAAAGCCATGTCAGACGGCTCCTTGACCCAGAGACCTCAAAGAGGTTCGATTTCCTGCCCTCCTGCAGCTACTCAAAAACACAGGAGGGAAGGAGGAGAGAGACCTGGCTGTCTCTGCATGTCAAGACTAAGAACAAACTGCTCCTTTAATGGCTGCTTTCACCTTACACAAAGATGAAATGGAAGTGTATCTTGCCAAGGTGCACATACATAGAAAGCATGGGAATGAACCTCACTACTACCTCACTACCTCACTACTGGCAATAGCAGGGAGAAAAAATGGAAAGGATCCCTTCCATGTGTTAGGTTACTTTTCTCTTGTTCAGAGGATTAGTGAGACTAAAAAGATAGATGATGAAATCTTCCTCTGCTGAAGCCACAGCAAAACTCCTACTCACTTCTACAGGGCCAGGATCTCCCTCTTTTTAAGAAATTAATTATGAGCTGCAAAATCCAATTAAAAATAGGAACATCACAGAGTTGTGCCACACTGACTTTTTTCCTACTTACTCAAATTAAAAACCACATTTAAAACTTGTGCCTGCAAGCCACTCCCAGGAAGGAGGCTCTACTCCTTAAGTCACCTTTATTCAACACCAGTCCCTAAATAAATCCATAAATCCACATTTAGACAAACGCACTCCATGGAGGAGCCAGTCCTCATCTAAAAAGAAGCCAATACCTAGAAACATGTTAAATACTCAGTTCTTTCAGTTCAGAATTTACTCCACATCATGGGGCTGGTTCAGATTCCACACATCCATAAATGCACCTGGAAAGCAGTGCAGATATATTCAAGCAGTGAATTATGCTATTTTCCTAGATGAGCACTTGTGTTAAAAAAATGTATCATTTGCTTATGGAAAATCTGTAAGCAATGCAGAATACTAGCTCTCAGCTCTTTATACTTTTCCCCCTGGGAGTCAGAGATACTAACTAGTTACTGATTTGTAGTTTCTGTGGGTAGCATGTGCATCAGAGAGCAGCGCAGCACAAGGAAGCAGCATTGCAGTGAGACAGTGGGTGCACAGGACCCAACATCCACACTGTGTGCATTGGAAGGGTGTTATTTATTTCTGCCTGGCCACAGCCTCATCCTGTGGCCTGAGCTGGCCCGTAGGTCAGCAGCTCCTGGGAAAGGAAAACAACACATCTACACTCTGGCCAGGCTGAACCAAAGCACATGAATGGGGGTAACCAAAGCCTCATCTCAAAGAGGTCACTTGATCACCAGGAAACACTCAGACACATCCTGAGCTGCCTGGTGAGGATCTGGAGAAGCAGCCTGCACACACCTGCTGGTGCACAGAGCCCTGTGCTGAAACCTACTGGTCTGAAAGGGCTGTTTCACCATAACAGTCCTACAGAAATGCTATTTGCCCTTCAGATACACTTTGGGGTTCCATCACAACTGCACACTTCTGTGAAGCAGCCTCTCTTCACTGTGGATGTGTGCTGTGTCCATACCTCATTTTAACCTTTTCATGTTCCTGAAGCACATTTTATACACTCGAGACTGGGATGCTTGGGGAGTAGGTTCCCTGTTTCACTTCTGTTTATGATACCTCACTCAACTGAGCTCTTCTTTTAAAAGTACCCTCAAAGCACATTATAGTACAGTCTGGCCCTCCATCCTCTATTTCATCCAGCCTGGTCCAATCTGTTAACTGGATGACAAAGATCTTTGAAAATTTATGGGAAACATGTAATTGTGAAACTAAAATTATAGGTCATAACAAAAAATCCATCAGACTTTGGCAGCCCTGAAATCGGGTCACTATTCCTTTTGTGGCAAAGATGAATGCAAGACTAAATATTAGGCATCTAATACAAAAATAAACAAATGATTGCTACAGCTTTCTCTTGAAAGCCAAAAATTTATCATTTGAAAGTATAGAAAAGCCAAGCACTCAATCCCATTTACACTCCTGTGGCAAACACTCAGTAGGGTTCCAGCAAAACATGATGGATAGAACTGGGCTGGTTCTGTAATGACCACCACACTCGTCTTTGGAACTTCTCCCTCCATTTTCCAGCCTCAGGCATTCTTGGTGAGTTTCATCTCATGCAGCTTTAGATACTGAAAGCCATCATCTGACACTGCCACCTATGGCATTATTTTTCAAGTTAATGGGGAGGCAAAGGCATGGGTAGATGGTGGCACATCATACCCAGGCAGACTGGAATTGGAGGTGAATCTCTCTATTTTGATGGTGCAGGGGGCCAGGCAAGCAGGTCAAGTGCCTGCACCTGTATCTTTGCTCTCCAGGCACAAACCAGAGAACATCAGGCTTCTGCCCCAACACACATTTAAATTGTAAACCCTGTACAAACCTTCACAACAAATATTTCCTCACAAAGCACAGCAATGGGGATGCTGCCTCTTCTCAAGATCCAGAGACCCCCTGTCCTTGCCACCTACATCCTGCAGGCACCCTTTAGGTCCCAGACATATTACTCTTGTCCAAGAAGTAAGGCAGTGTTTGCTAAGACATCTCAGAGAAGCTATTTCAGCAGAGTGATTAGAAACATTAGGTCACAGGACACAGAGGTACCTACTCAGGATCAGCTGAGGACATGATCACAAAATTACAA